ATCAGTAGCTCCTCTGATCCCGACGCCTTCTATATCCGCTTTGGGCATTTAATTTCACTTTCGTAGCAAACAAGCGTCCACAGCACTACGGACAACGACTCCAACGCCACCTTTAGGGTTCTTTCTGAGGCTGACGGCGGACGTAATCACTACTCTAACAGTCGTCACCACCACCACAGTCGAAACCACCAGCACCACGATCAACGGGGGTATCATCGACATCATCATGAAGACTCGTGCACCAATAACAGTGATTTCTTGACCTCTTCCAACTGCTCTCAGCAGGGATGGAGCACGATGGCTAAATCAAACTCGTTCCACCACCAGTCCAAGAGATTTGGTGGTGGAAGACCGCAACACACACATGAGATGTGCAAGTCGGCTACTCCAGGTTTGTCTGTCGTTGTTGCCGATTACTGGTGTCCCAATTTCTCTGTGCATTTGTTAACTGATTTTTGGTTGGAAATAGTTAATCTGTAACCTACTTTAGCACTCATTCAGAATTGAAGTTTAAGTTGGTATTTAATCAGTAAAAGATGTTGATTGAGGATTTTAGATTAGATTCGACTTGCATATCACTTGACAAGGGAAATCTCTTGAATGTGAGCAAACTATGGCCAAAAGCAACTAAGTGTTTTTCCTTCCCTACCAGACAATTTTCGTCGTCAGAATCACTGTGGGAATGCAACGAAGGATGATCTTTCTGACATGATCTCTGGTTTGCCTCAGCAGACTTTGGGGGACATGTTTGGGTCAGTGGAGCGCTGTGTTAGCAGTGACTTTGGAAACAATAGTGCCAATCTCTCCCAACAATCAGTCGGATTTGCACGCAGCAAGACCTTTGCACACACACCTCCCCTACCCACTGCCACGCGAGTCGCCTTTGTTCACGCATTCGATAAAAGTGTTGCTGGTAGTGGCAGCATTGTTGGCAATGGAAGTGGTCATCTCCATGCCGGGGAGTACGAAAATCTGGAGGTAATAACTCAAATTCTACTACTTTTCCGTGCATTAATTTGATTTAAAACATCTTATTGCCCCTTATTTGTAGGCTGATTCGTCGCTCCTCTGTTCAGTAAACCGAAAATCAATCACAGACATTTCTGTTAAGTCTTCTAGCTCTGACATTTCATTCGAGGACTATAAATTTAATCAGCGTCTGCAGCGTCGAAACCGCACGCCAAAACTCATCAACACCCATTGCGGAGGTCGGCACGATCACCACCAATACTGTCCACATCAAAGTCATCGGAATTGCCCTTTTGGACGTCCTCTAGTCACTTCATTGTCGACTTCAAAACGATCCACTCTCCCAAGTATTTCATGCGATGGTAATGGTGGACATATTCAGCTCTGCTGGGAGCACCTTCGTGCTCTGGAACAGCTGGGAGCACCCAAAGGGGTTCGCATTGACACACCGGTGATTCAACGTAAGAAGCAGAAGAAGAGGATGAGGAAACAAAAGGAGCCATGTTGCAGTTACTGTTCTGTTTTACCTGCACATCGCTATGCGGAGAAGGCGAGATCTTTCGATCCATGCCAGCAAAAATCCCCAATGCGTCACAGGTGTTCAGCCAGTCCAGTGTTCAGTGTGGAGGCAATACAGTCACAGTGCGACTTGTGTCGAAGGCAAAGAAGACGGCGAGTTGATTTTGGCCGACCTAGTTGTGGGTGTGACGATATCAGAGTATCTGCAGACAACGATGGTGCTTCAGATGAAGCAGAAGAGGAAGAGGAGGAAGATGAGGAGGAGGGATTTTCATCCTCTCGGGCTGCCAGTGATTCTTCTCTAGCTTCTTCTGCCCTCCCAGGAGTCAGGGACACTGCATCCATTATGGTCTCTTCCTATGAGTTTGAGTGTCAGCAACAACAATCGCATAACGCTGTATCGTCCTTTGATAGCACCAGTGGTAACGCAACACCTCGTCGATGCAAAAATAAACCTCCCACTTCAAAGTTGGGCGAGGATAGACGCGGTTCCTCGAGCTGGTTACAATCTCACATCAGTATCTACGAGGACAGGTGCAGTCCATCGGTAAAAACTGGCAGAGCTACACAGGTTCGTTTGCCAGTTCATAGTTGGCTGGACCTGATACTCAAACTTTACTACGCAAGCGTCTGACACTTTTCAGATCTCCAGTTCTCGAAGGACGTCCGTCTCACCACCAACAGCAGAAAGAGTGCCACAGAGACCGGAGCGACCCAAAACCCTTCTCTCCTCATCAGCCTCATTCCAAATGGAGGACCATCATCGACACCAGCCGGATACACCTTCGATACGCTACGCCAGTCGACCATTTGGTACTACAACCAGCAGAGACGGCACCCCTGTACGACGAATGGGTGGAACCGGGGCATATTCTCGAACTCCCACGCCAGCTAGGTCTGTAGGAACGCAACAACCCAGTGGTATGACCTCCGATAGGGGTGGTGGCGGAGGGTTGCTCTTTACTGCTTCCATGACTTTTACCCCCTCCGGTGTCTCCACAATGTCTCCCGGTCCTTCGAATTCCGCAGCTATAGCTGGAGCCGGTGGACCAGAGAGGGGCCTAAGCGGAAGATCAAGTCAATACCAACACCAACAAGAACAGACTGACTTTCAGAGATGCCTCACTAATAAATCACTCTTACCTATCTCACAACGAGATAAAGGGGTGAGCGCATTTGTGAATAGGTTTCTTTTTGTGGATAATCGTTCCATTCAGGATTGGCTCAATGACTTGTTTCGCTGC